AGATCGTAGAAGTCATCTAATAATGACATTATAATCACTGTTCAATCACAAATTTTCAAATATCATTACTATTATACTGTTTATTACGTAATACACTTCAAAACTGTCTTTATATTCAATGTTTAGTTTTCATTCATTGTATGAATTCACTTAAACATCTTCTATTTATATTATTTCATTCTCAATCCCAATTCACTCGTTCTATATAAATTATTCTTTAAAATTTCTTCATATTTTACAAAACATCATTTTGTTAGTTGTTTATTAACATAGGCAAACTGATTCAAACTATTAACAATAACTAATTCTATGTTATTGTTAGATCAAATCAGTACAGTATGTTAATTCAATTACAGGATTATAAACAGTTGAAGAGGATTCAAAAGAAAAGAAATGAAATGAAAATGTATTATTCAGCTACAATGATTATTTTTTTATTCTTCACTAATTTCATTAAATGAATAACTGTATATATATATATATATATATATATATATATATATATATATATATATATATTGTTGACAATAACATAAATCATTACATAGTGTTAGATAATGGATTAATTAAATTGGATAATTTGTTTCATTTTCTGGTTATCGTTTATTTAGCGGATTAGTTTTCTAAGGGATGGGGTCACTAAACACATGCCTAACACTCCTCCTTCATCCGAGACTGGAATTGGCAGTAACTCTAGAAGATATACAGTCGGAGTTAATTTGTTGCATAAATCACTCTATTGATTAAACAAGTGGTGAGCTAGACAATATTTGTTATATTTGTTACGTTGTTCCTTAGACAGTTTTTCATGAATTTTTATCATAAATAAACAATGAAGGACATTTGAAAAACGTTTTCTTGATCAACGATCAATGTTTGTTGAGTTTTGATCATTAAATCTTGAGTTTATAATATGATATATATTTTAAAATAAATTTTTCCTAGTTTCAAACAGAGACACCTTCTTATCAGTTTATATGGCAAAGAGATTCGTTTAAATCAAGGATTATCAAGTTTTGATTTGAACCTATGTTACACAGAGTTCATGATACAAATTCATTATAACTAAGGTGAGGTTATAATTTATGGACGAACCAATCACGTATAAGATAACAGGTCTTGCATTTTCGAAAGAAATTCACTCATCCATTTAGCAAAATAGAGTTTTGGTATTATAGTTTATGTAAATTCGTAATGAAAACCCTAAATCTAATTCCTAAATCTAATCATCAACTACAAATCATAATTCTAATTCCTCACATAGATTGATAACCCTCGTTTGGTCCTGGTTATTAAGTGGACACTGTCAAGGTCAGTTTAGCATCACTGTAAGGTGGTTCATAAATGATAGTCTCATCATAACTAGTATTGTGGAACAAAGTATGATTCTTGGAAAACTAAATATGAAATCGTGTTTAAATTGATTTCCAATCAAATCCGTATTCCTACCGTATATTCATAGATACTATTATCTTCATTTAATTGTAACACATTATGATATTTTGTAACAACCGTTTCATATTCATAAATGTGTTTACGTTACCGAACGACAAAAAAATATCAAATTGGTAAAGTTGGAATGTTTTGCTTCTATGAAGCAAAATAGAAAATAATGAATTTACACAGTATGCATGATTCTATTTTGTGAACAAACTCGATTCACTTATCAGCTACATTTAAATAAAACACGTGGAACAAACATCATTTAACGGGAACATTAAATGTTTATCTGATTTTTCACCTTATTAATAAAACATGTTAGATTCTAATCTAAGTATTTGAAAGGTACTTTTGTGCTGCGTGCTACTTATATGTACAATTATCAGTAGTACGTAACACCAATCAGAAGTGGATTGTGTGGCAGAAGAAGGCTAAGAAAATCGTGTTGAAGTAAACAGAAATGGAACTAGAAAAATGTTATCAATTGGAAGAATCATACAGAACGTGAAGGACAGTTAATGGAAGATTTACAAATGAATTATTTAATGGATGGTTCTCAAGTTTTATAAAAATATTCTGTAAACTTTTTATCAAACAATAAATTATATTTCTCCACTTAGGTCTTCGTTAATTATACTTTCATTTTCTGAATAATATATAAGAACAAAGAACTTTCAAAACAATCTTTGGTTGTTAACTTTTTAATGGATTTAATATTCAGTTTAGATAATATGCTACAAGTTTCTGGTTTACAAACACTATTTTTAAACCAAAACAATTGAATAGATCTTTCCAAATTTGATTAATCACTTCTTTGAAACTAACAATCTTTAGGTCATATTTAGGTCATATAATATTTAAATTCATGATAAAAAGTATAGATACAGTTGCTTAGCAATCTGTAATGTGTAGATATTTCAGCTTTATTCATGTTTTATTAGTTGGACTCCAAATTGAAATATAATTTATAATTATCTATTAGTCAAAATATAATCATCATATATTTGAAATTTTATTAAAACATGAATTGTAACACTAGTCTTGACCATCACTCGATAACCTGGGAGCATTGGATGGCCGTTTTGTTCTAGTATGGCACTTCTCACCAGTGTGCATCAACGATCCCTCACATGAGACTCGAACCCAGCACCTCCAGGCTCGTGCACGCACGCTTAACCTCTGACCACTGAATCTGCATACAACTGTGTTAATGTCAAATTTCAATCGATCGATAATCTTGTGCAATCCCTCATTTATTGTCTGAGGTGGATTACTGTCTCACAACCAACATGAATTTAACTCTACTGGTCACAGCTCACTAGAACTCCAAGAATTCCATCTTGAAGCTAACCACTAACCTTCATTCTGAAAACCATGAATTAATGTTTATTGACGTAAATATATATATACTTACAAGAGATCGGTTTAAAAACTGATGAAATCATTTCATGATTTAAAAACAATGTTCAATAACTGATTATACAGTTTATAAAATTGTGATCCACATTTGTTATAGACTTTTATAACGTATGTCACAGTTTCAATCACAAAATTGGCCGATATTTTGCGAAACGTATGGGGAAAGATCGTTCACAATATTTTCAGAATGGTTAACTTCTAATGTACATGTATCTAGGTAAATATCTGAATGATTCATGTCAAAAGTATAATATAATAGTGGCACCGTTCTATTAATCTTTTTTCCACGGTTTTATCCATCTTTACTTTCAGTATAGGTTAGCAAACGGTTACTTCAATGATAACTAAACTCTGTAATATGCCGTCAAAATTTTGTTTGAAGTTACCCTGGGAGTTGATGACGAAACCTTGCTGATGTTTAATAACAATTATTAATCTTAAGTCTAATGATTCATTTTGAATACCTTCAACGGATAAGAACAAACACTATGCACTTTATCTTATGCCTTAACTGCAAACATGATACAATCATCTTTAAGAAACTGAACTACATGATATTCATCTTTTTACAGCGACTGATTCATGTCTAATACACTCTTAGTTGTAATTCACTTTGATAACATAATTTATTGTGTCTTATTTTCAGTGCAAGGAGTGTGTTCTATTCGTTTTAAATACAGTGTCTAGCAGATTATTATGTTCTGTGTTCTTATTATTTTGACATTTTTCACTTTGTAATATAACGAACATGCAGGAAAATGTAGACGACTGACGCCATCATTAATCTCACGACTATTCACCTTTATACTTTTCTTTATTAGCTAACTTTCTTTCATTGACAGTTATAATTTATTGACATTTGCACATACATTAGTAGCGTTTACACGGTTTCCAACTTACAAGTTCATAAGTATTGCACAGTTTAACAATCAATAAGAAAAATATCATTTGAGTTACATTTTAGGTAAAGCTATTTGATAAACTAAGTCGAATTCAGTTCACCCACAATCACTATTCTCTCTAAATTGAAAGAAAGTTTCATTTTGGTATTTAATCACCATTTACCAAACGCTGGAAGAAAAATAACATGTTGTAGATCTGTTGTTGTTGAACTTCACATGATTATAGAGAAAAATTTACAAAACCATTATATACTTTAATTTTAAACGATATACATGCGTTGTTTGAAACTTCCCATTGATCTATAGAACTACAATTGATCAGTCGCTTATTGGCATACATGCATCCTAGTCGGATTGCCTCAATATTATCTTCACTCACAAGCATTTTAAACAGAGGTGGATGGTGGCTAGCAGTAGATTCCAGAACGCGCCATTTTTCCTATTTGAGACTCATCAGCTAGATGTACCTTCATTTTCAGAGCGGATATTTACTCTTGGACTCGAACTCAGTACTGTTCATTTTAACCATCACTTTATCCACTCAGCTACTTAGTCTTGATATCGAGGCAGTCCGAACAGAATACATATATGTCAACAAAAGACGGATCAGTTTCAGTCCTAAACAATATTGGAAAGATTCAAGCAAACAATTCCGCTCTAATTTTATACTACATTTGGAAATATGCTAAATATTGTACAGAAAAATACCTTAAACATATTGACTATTCTAAATAGTTTTATTCAATTATATTACAGATTCATTCACCACCTATATATATATATATATATATATATATATATATATATATATATATATATAAACATGTGAATTACGTATACACTTTTCTATTAAACAAAATGTCATATTTAAAAAAAAGAATTATTTATATACAATAAAAAAGATTACTATTCAGTTTCCTATTGGTCAATTATATTGTCCAATTAAAATTAAGCATCCCTATTTGTCTTTTATTTGTTATCTTTTTAACATGAATAATATCTTTATAAAATGAATTGAACATTCCATTATACAACTGGGATATATATATATATATATTGCATATTTGGTTACATTTTCATATACCTTACTCATTAATAGATAGATTTCAAAAGAAAAACAAAACAAACATGTTATGTATATATAGTATGAGCAATAGATTTATTATTGCTCATTCATTCCACTATCATGAATAATATTAATATTAATAATAATAATAATAATTCTATGAATTACACCTTATGCAATCATCATTTTATTTGTATTTATCTTTATATTTATTTTTCATAATTATATTCATAACTAATATCAAAACAATGAATAATTCAATAAATGAAATTACATTTTATATAAAAGAACATCCTGAATTAAATACATTAATAGGTAATTTATATCAAACAAATCAATTATTTAATAGTAGTTTTGTAAGTAGTATACAATTAGAAACTATTAATTTTAAATGGTCAAAATGTTTTCGTATTGATCGTTATAGTGGTAATTTATATACAACAATTGATGCAAAATATTTATTAGATAGTGAAAAAATTTGTATTAAAAATAAAAATTCTAAAATAATTTTTAATCAATTTTATAATAATATAACACAATATTGTTCAATTAATCTTATAATTACAATTAATAATCGTTTATTATTATCGATTATTATACAAATTGAAGATATTAATGATAATTCACCAATATTTCTATATGATGATGATCATAATAATAATAATAATACAGAAATAATTTATATTAATGAAACAGCTCTACCGGAATATACTAAAATTCCATTGAAACCAGCTTATGATCCTGATTTTAATGGATATAATAAATTATATTATTATTTAACAGTAATTATAGATTCTGAACAAAATGATCAATCATTAATTAATTCCACGAATATTCATAATCCATTTCGTTTACATAATGATGATGATAATGATGATAATGTAATAACCCATTTAAATGAATCATATCATTCAACTAATTTATATCTTGTATTAATCAAATCATTAGATTATGAAATTCAATCAGAATATCAATATAATTTAACTGTATGTGATAATCAATTAAATCAATTATTAATGATTAATTTAAATATAATACATTGTACATGGAAATTAATAAAAATTTATATAAATAATATTAATGATGAATTACCATGGTTTCAACAAACTAATTATTCTGTTGTAATACATGAAAATTTTTTAATTGGTAATGAAATCATTAAAATTACAGCAATAGATAATGATTCTATCCCATATAATCATATAAAATATCGTATAATACCTAGTCATGATATGATTTTATTAAATAATGAAAATTTATTTCATATTGATTCTAATACTGGAATTATAATATTGAATAAATCAATAAAAAAACCTGGTATTTATCGATTTTTAGTTGAAGCATATAATAATGATTATATTTATAATAATAATAATAATAATCAAAATCAATATTTATCCACAATAGATCATATATCATTGATTAGAAATTATTCAACTAAACATTATAAAAATATTGCTAATGTACACATTCATATTATTGATGTAAATAATCATGCACCAAATATAGAAATTCAACAAACTCAAGATACTTTAATATACTACTTAAATAATAATCATACTATTCAACATATAAATGAATCAAAGTTAATTATATTAAAAATTCCAGAAACATTATCTATTAATACACCTATAGCATATTTTAAAATAACTGATGAAGATGAATTAGATAATGCTGATATAACATGTCATTTGATCCGATCAAATTATAATGATCCTTTTATTTATACTTATAATAATGAAAAACAATATAAATTAGATATATTTCAATTAATATATGTTAATCGTATTAGTGATAATACAATAATTAATAAATTAATTTTATCAAAAAATTTAGATGCAGAAAATTTATCAAAACATTTATTAATAAATAAATTTAAATTAAATATTGATGTAGAATCAATTGCTGGTTATTATGGTTTATTATTAAATTGTCATGATAATGGTATACCACAATTAACTACATCAATATCAATTATTATAGCTATAGATGATATAAATGAATATTATCCAAATATTAATATAATCAATACATCATTATGTAATACATGGGAATTAAAATCTTCTATCAATCATTCATATATATATGATATAAATATTAATGAAAATATACCAATTCATTCACATATTATAACATTATCTGTAATAGATAATGATATAACATCAACAATACAATTTATACAACAAATAACAAAATTATCAATACCATTTATTATTGATAAATCGAATGGAATAATAACGAATAATGATTTAATTGATTATGAATATAAGAATAATTATAAAATGTATATTATTATTTATGATGAAAAAAATTTACAAAAATCATTTATGACTAATATATTGATTAATATTAATATTATTGATTTAAATGATAATTCACCAGAATTTATAATATCATCATTAAATGATTTACAATTTGATAGTAATTCATTCATAGAACCAATACAAAACAATATAGAGAATATAAGAATTATTGAAATAGAAGAAGAAATAATTTATACTAAACCAATAGGTATTATTAAAGCATTAGATCGTGATACTGGTAAAAATGCTGAACTTATATATTTTATTGCAGAAATTTCTTATCAATTAGATAATACTAATAAAATGATAAATATAAATGAAAATCAAACAATAAAAATAAAACAAACATTAAATACACCAAAATTATTAATTGATTCTAATGGTGCATTATGGTGTGAAAATAAAATCGATAGAGAATTAATATCAATTATTGATTTAATTATTGGTGTACATGATCTTGGTGAACCAAAATTAACATCTTATACAAAAATTCGTATATTAATTAAAGATATTAATGATAATAATCCATTATGGCAATTTCCAACAGAAACTGATTTTTTAGTATATGTACCAAAATCTTTATCAATTGGTAAAGTTATTACTAGAATTCATGCTATTGATAAAGATGAATTAACAAAAAATGGTCATATTACTTATTATATATTAAATCCAAATAATAATAACAATAATAATAGTAATAATACAAAACATAAATCTAAATTAGATATTATTTCATGGAATATTATTACACAATTTTTTATATTAAATTCTAATTCAGGTGAATTAACTGTAAAACATTCATTAATTCAATTACCAGATGGATTTCTTGATATTTGGTTAAAAGCAGAAGATAATGGTAAAGTACCTAGACATTCAATTGCTAAATTAGTATTATACTTAACTACTATAAATAGTAATATAAATCATAATAATCATAATGATAATTTTTTAAATTTTGATAATCCACAAAAATTAATGCATTACTATGAAGAGAATAAAAATACTAAAGATATTACTATACAAATACATTCCATGGGTAATTTATATGATATTCTCCCAATGAAAATGGATTTAAATTCAAATAATGTATATTTAAGTACAACACCATTATATAAGTATAATATTAAAACATTATCATTATTAATAAGTGGTTCAATTGTTGGTATTATCATAATTATTATATTTTTAACATTATTTATAATATGTTTCAAATATAATTCATATTATCATCATCATAATCATAATCATAATCAAAATGTCAAATGTAATTCAATTACACAAATCAATACAATAGAATGTAGTAATAATTTATCAATGAAATTATCTAATAGTAACTATGGTAAAGATAATCATTGTAATGATTCAAATTTAAATTATGAAACATTTACCAATTTAAAACCAACTACCTCAACTGTGAAATTATTGAATAATATAAATAATGAACAAAATCAATGTAATGATCAAATTAATGAAAAATTAGAAAAATATAATGATTTGAATAGATCCAGTGTTACATCATTATCAATTAATGATACTACTATTCAAACAACATATATACCAATGAATTTAATGAGAAATTGTAATGAATTACATTATTCACCGATTACATCAGTTATTGATATATCAGATAAAATTCCAATACATTTATTACATGTATCAAATGATACTTTTGCTGTACCATTATGTATGACACATAATATTACAACTAGTAATACTAATGATAATAATGATTATTATCATAATCATACTACTAATGAACATACTACTAATAATAACAATGATAATGAAGCAGAACTAACAACACATCCTCTTACAATTGTTGCTACAGTTGTATCAACAGATAATATTAAACAAGGTTTATTACCAATTTTAACAGAACAATCAAATAATAATAATAACACAGTTGATATTACAAATAATAAATTATATGAAAATGATACTTTTATAAAATTAGAAAATTTAACACATTCCGATACATATTACACAACATACACTCCTTGTTTATTTAATACAACTGAAAATACCTCATGAACTATGAATAGATATATTGAATTCAATACTGACATATATATATATATATATATATATATATATTTGTATAAATGATAATCTATTCCCAGTAACTACTGATTTTTACTCATTTAGACACATTTTTTTATTTTAGAAAAAAAAATTAATGAATTAACAACAATTGTTTATATGTCATTATATGTGTATCTATTAGGGAGGGTGATAGATTTGTACAAAATATTTAATAAGGTGAGCAAATTGTTCACAGTGACAAATATTTCAATGTATTTTGTATTTTTTAAAGAAAAAACAAAAACAAAAATAATAATAATATTGTTTGATGAAACATTCTATAGTTCTGGTTTGTTTGTTTGTTTTTTATTATTATTATTATTATTATGAAAAATCGTTTATTTCAATCTATCAATTATTGTCTGTTATATTTTTAAAGTCAACAAACAAAACAAAACAGAAATGTTATTTGAAAATTTATAGTTGAATAACTGACTATTGAATAATCAGTAATATATAATTTCAATGAAGTAAAACATTGAACAATATAGTAACATACTTTACGTGACTATATATGGGGGTATTCATGCAATGTATTAGTTAATTAGATGATTTAAAGTTCATATTTCTGCTGAAGTATCCCATACTAAGACGAAACGTCCGTTCAGTGTTTCCAGGTTTTCCATGATGGTCTATCTTTAATTGACTCATGAATTCAACCATTAAATTACTATAATTATTTACAAAACCCATTGCTAATTATAATATTTAAAAGCCAGTTAATATATAAAGGGAATACATTAGAGAAAATAAACTGTATACAACCTAACTCATAATCATCTTACAATGTTTAGAAAAATTGTTTTCTTCTAGTTATTGGGAAGAGATCGATAGATTAATCAGGGATCTGAATAACGTTTCTTAGATCATGTATAGCAAGGATTTTAAAGTTGTCTAGTAGATAAATATGGATCATGGAATTGATTTTATTTCAATATATTTAGTAATTCTGTAATAGATAAATGATAAGCTTTATCGTATAATGTGAAAGCAGCAATTAAAACGATGAATATATACCAACTATTTCTTCAGATTTTCATACCGATATGAACTATTACAAAAAGGAATATCATAATTTGAATGAATCTATTGATTACTTCCTACATAGTCTTATTTTACAAGTTTTATTTTTTATATAGAATAGATAGATTTATAGCTAACAGTGAAATTCAAGATCTTAATTTCTTTCCATATGGATTGTATTAGAATGTGATCAAGGCTCAGGAAAATAAAAAATATGATATTTTTTTTATTGCCATTCAAGCAGAACTTATTGTAAATGGTATTGTTTCACACTATTCACTAACATATATCATCTGTCTTTTTTTATGTTCAAGTAAATGAAACTGCTATGGTAATGTGCTTGTCTTTTAATTAAATAGGAATTTTCAAACATCTTTTATAAATGAAATAAAATCATCTTTTAATATCACTTTTTTGAAATATTTGGTAAATGTATGATTATTTGTATTACTGTTTTCATTTAGTGTTTATCACACCTTATTGTGGTGCTGAGTTCTTTGATATAGATGATTAAACTGCATAGCATTCCCTGTCGTTCTAGACAATAACACCAGATCAGAAATGATATTTTCAGTTATTTCATAAGGATTAAATCAGTGTTCTTTTGTCGGTTTCATAGTTGATTATCTTGCTAGATTTCTGTTTTTATTTGATTTGCATTTAAGTTTACTAGCTTGTTCCGTATATATCCTATCATATAGTTAAGTGTTGTTTATTCATTGAGTTTATAGTTTGGGTTCGTCTTGTTGTATCTGCTGATCACTGAATAATCTGAATACTATACTTCCAAAAATTTTACATCATTCTTAAAATTCCATTGATCCATAATCTAGACGTTTTCTTAGTCAAGTTAACTTCTTTATGTGATTACTTATATCGATGTTAGTAAAAAACATGCCTAGTCGTATCAATGATTGTTATTGTGTATACAAAGTGTGTAACACGTCCACTTAATCAATATAGTGTTTATTGCTGGAAATGATTTATGAAATCTTTTCTATAGATGTTAGAATTATCCCTTTTCCATAATTAAAAACACATTCCTAAACTCAAAATCTTTTTACTATGTTTGGAACAGTTTTTTTCCTCAACTTTGAATATTCGATATGATGAAATGATAGTGACTTATTTCAATTCCACGAAATTCCAAATTATTTATTCACTCATTTAATTGTTTTTCAGTACATTTGTAATACTATTCTGTTTAGAGAACTTTTTCTCACGAATTTCCGCATGTAAAAATATCTAGTAATTTACATCACAGACTAACCCTAGTTAGCTAACCATTACAAATTACGGAATACTAAAAAATCTATTGCATTCTAGTATCGGATTCTTCAGCACTGAAGATCCACGACCTCACTATCAGGAGGAGCGATCAACTTTTAAATTACTCAATAAACATTTGACATTTTAGATTTTTTGACTTTTATCTTTTACTTTATATTAAACTACCACTTTCCAATTATATCAATCATCAAATGTTTGACACATCAACAGTTATGGCTTATCACCAAATCTTTTAGGTTCCATTTTCTATAGCTATATGCATATACATTACTCAAAAGTTTTATATCTAGACGAAACCATCGCCATATTCCTTATGGTTATTTAACCCAATTCAATTCTTTATATAAATAATATTTTAACTTATACATTTTTTACGATGCTAACTAAATCATAAAATAAACGTTTCGCAGTATATTTGAAAAAAAAGGTGTTCAATTATAAACACATATCAAATAAACAAAACCTAGAGAGAGAGAAAAATAAGCTAAGAGAAAAACAAATGAAAAGAAAGATACAAAAAGAAGTTAGATTTAGTCTTTTTTTTAAAAATTATTCTTTTTTTTTCTTCAAAATAACATTTGTAAAAATACTTTATATGAAATCCCATTTAAACTACTGAAATTTGAATTGTTTCAAATAGTGTATAAATTATTCAACTTACAATAGGTAAACATTAAGATTTGACTAATTAAAATATATCTTATTTCAATAGTTGAGATCATGAGTTAATTAAAGCCAGACCATCATGGAAAACTAGAACAGCCGTTTCGTCCTGTTGTAGGGCTCTTCAGCAGTGCATATCCATGATCCCGCCTTGCGAGATTTGAACCCAGGTCTGTTGTGAGATAGTAACTCACTGAAAACAATAGTGGATGTATCGCTCAGTTTCGTTGATTAGTTGATGTTAGATATTAACACGTGTGAAACCGATAAGCCCCGGGTTTGAATCTCGCGAGGCGGAATCGTGGATGTGCACTTCTGACGAGGAGTGCCGCAATAGTGCTTCCAGGCATTCCATGGTTGTCCAGCTCCAATCGACTCATGATCTCAACTATTAACGCATACTATAATATTCATAAAAACCCTGCAGATACATATATTATTATCAAAAACCACTGTTATGGTTGGATAAATCTATGCTCATTTTTGATGTATACTGTGATAGACTGAGATATATTGACATTGGATATAAGAACATCTATTTTATAGGTGTGTTCTGATTTTTGATATATGAATAGGATAATTATATACGTTAACTTCATTTTTGTGCTCTCATAGTTGTTGTGATCTGATATTAAAAATCCTAATAGCTAACAATGTGTTGATGGTAATATTTTCATTCAGTTGTCTATCTTTTGACAAACTACGTGACGTTTGCTTTGTAACTCATGTCTTAAATATGAGCTGCATACTACTTTTGCTGAAAGACATAGGTAGTATGTAACACCAGTCTGAAGTGGAATCCTTGGAAATGGAAACATAAGTGAATTGAGAATTAGAAGAATCATTTCATTGTTATAATCAACTATATGCTTATTCCCTGAGGTCATATAATTTTACATATCATATAGTTTCTTGTTCACATTTTCAAAGTAAATATGTTTTGTAATGTTTCATGATGATTATAAATAAATAATTTCCTCGATGTTGTTTTACCTAAATACACTATAATTACATTTAGAATTTAGTAAGTGGGTTCCACCCTGTGTAGGTCTTATCAACTGGACATATACTCATCCAAGTGTTGATGTTTTCATGAATGTCCACATAGCTTACAAACCTATAATATTGAACAGAGATAATGGTAGCTAGCAGTGAGATACAAGACATGTGTTTCATCCCGTTTGTAACTCGTCAACTGGATGTATCCTCATCCCAGAGTTAATGTTCGATTCGGGACTATAATATTAAGATTTAATATTTTCAGTTTATTCGTAGCCAATTATAAATGCTTTGTTTAAAAAGTTGTTAAATTGTACTTTTGTGAAAAATATATGAATTTAGAGCAACATCAATACGATAGATCGAGAAGTAAGTACTTTGAAATAACATTATTGATTTTTCATGAATTGCTTACTGTTTACATACAAGTAATTTATTGTAGAGTAGGAAGCTATCGTCTTTGTACTATTATAATCTTTTTGGATGTTCACAGCTGAGAAGTTACACTGTTAGAAAACAGCTATTTAGTACGTTCATGTTTCTTACGGTTGTCGAATTAAATCTATCCCATGTTATAAAAATACGTAATCCACTAACCTTGGCAATGCTTATGAATAATAATATTTATTACGAATAAATGTAATATGATTTTAAAACGTTAATGAACATCATAAACAGTTAGATATAACTAAAGCAGTACTTCACATGAGTAACGGGAAAATTCAAAATCTTAATAATGAAATAAAATCTAGTCATATTACACATATTAGCGGCTACCTGAATTCAGTAGCTAAAATATTATATTTGAAGGAATTTCGGGCGGACAGTACTAGGTTATTGTGTAACTGTGTGTGTCATTACTGGGATGAAGTGTTCTATAGCTGACTATTCCCAAAAGAAACAAGAATCACTACTAACATTTATTTAAACTGTATAAAAATGCTCCAGATCTAATGACAACCTCTAGAGATTCTCTCAGGCCGCACATATGCTTTAAGAAGCTGATCAATTTGAGTCCATACCCTCAAGTGGATGAAAACTCAAACTATTACAAATGAAATAAATAATCCTGAAAACGTTTTTTTGTCACTATCTTATGTAACATCTATTCAAAATGCGTAGCTTAATATTTTGATGGAGTTTTGTTCGCTGAGCAGGATGGTTCAGTAGTGGAGCTTTCATAATATTTCTGAATAACATCATGAACACAAACTTCAGGTAGAAGTCTACTTCCACGATCAAATCACCCAGATCAGAGAACAAAACGTCATTAATATCATCCAAGTAAGCTACAAATCTTCTCCGTCATCTCAGAATAGCTCTATAATAAATTCATAGTCATGTAGTTAATTAGAATTACTAAA